CGGCAGGCGGACTCTCAACCACTGCGCCACTAGGGAAGCCCAAGAAGAATTTTTATATGTTTACTATTTATAGCTAATTTTTTTTATAGCTAATATTTTTAAATTCCATGGAGTCTTTAGATTTGGGAATAATTTGTGATGATTATTTTTTTTCCTTTAGGAACATAATTTACTGTAACTTAATGATTTAAATTATAAATTTGCACGTAGAGCAGCAATACTGTACAAATTAAGGTTTAAGGTATTCCACATGATGTTTAATTTATATTTACAAAGAGAGTTTGGTCCACTCTCTTCCTTATTCCTTTTATTACCAGCTATAGTAATAATACACATTTATTCTTTGTGGGTCTTCCTGAGATTAAAAGATAGCAAATCCATTAATTAGAAAGAATACATGGAAAATTAGGTGAAATTTAGAGGAAAGCTCCACCTGTCTTTTTTTTATAAATTTATTTAATTTTTTATTTTTGGCTGCATTGGGTCTTTGTTGCTGCACGTGGGCTTTCTCTAGTTTCGGTGAGCAGGGGCTACTCTTTGTTGCAGTGCACAGGCTTCTCATTGTGGTGGCTTCTCTTGTTGCGGAGCACGGGCTCTAGGTGCGCGGGCTTCAGTAGTTGCGGCACACGAGCTCAGTAGTTGTGGCTCGTGGGCTCTAGAGCGCAGGCTCAGTAGTTGTGGCGCACGGGCTTAGTTGCTTCGTGGCATGTGGGATCTTCCCAGACCAGGGCTCGAACCTGTGTCCCCTGCATTGGCAGGAGGATTCTTAACCACTGTGCCACCAGGGAAGCTCCCACCTGTCTTAATGTTCTGGTTCATATTGGAATGCAAGGTGTTCTCTGTGTACTTCATTGCTTAATGGGTTGGGAATCTTGATAGAAGCATCTAACTTTGTTATAGTGTTTTAATCTCTAGAAAGATTATAGGCAAAAGGGACCTAAAATGATCATTATGTGTCTCTTTGCAATATTTTTTCCTTAGGTTCTTTTCAACTTGGCCAGTCAGTATTCAGCTAATGAAATGTATCCTGAAGCACTAAACACCTATCAAGTTATAGTGAAAAATAAGATGTTTAGCAATGCAGGTAAGTGTGTATAGTCAGTTTTTCCAATAAGTATAGTTCTTTTGTACCGTTAATTTACCATTTCCTCATTTTATGCTTTCTTATAATGAAATGATCTGTACTCTGAGCAAATTCATATTTATGATAGAGGTGCCCTGCTTAAAGATATGAAAATTCACACAAATACAAATGAAGAAATACAGTTGGTATAAGATACATTGCCTAACAGTAAATGAAAACAGTATTCTGTATCACAGGTAGAATGAGCCAGGGCAACCTACAGAACATGCTTTCCCTTGTATAATTATCCACAAGGACCTTTGTTTATATTTAGCATTTATATTGTGTAATTTTTTGGTCTCAGTATTAAAGTGTATCAGAATATCATTTTCTTTAATATTTTATTAAACTATTACATCATATAGTTTAAACCGGGTAAGTGTACTCTTTTTGTTCCTGAGCTCCAGGCTTCTTCATCCTGCGCCGTGGGGTGGGCCCTGCAGAGTGGAGAAGGGTCAGGACTATGGAGAGCTGACCGTTACCTCAGACCCCCAGGTCCTGGTGAAAAGAGGTGTGGGGTCACTTGAGTACGAGTTGGAAAGTCTAGACAAGCTTTCTGAGTGGATGTTGCATTTGAGCTGAGTCTCAAGTTTTGTAGAAACACTTTTTCTCACCAATTCATAAATGCTTACCGTAGAAAATGTGGGGAAAAAAGGATAAACTGTACATCTTGCAGCTCTGGGAGATGCTGGAATAACGCCCAAAAGAAGGTCTAATTTTGAATTATCTAATACTTTTTAAGTCCCATGTTTTCTTAGAAGAACAGAACTCCAGTTTTATAATGTCACTCTTGTTTTCTAGCCATGTTTCCAGGAATCCATCTGTCTTAAGTTCCAATTCCTTGCAGAAGTTTAGTGTGCACATACATGAAAATAGTATAACTGTTTTAAAGTGAGAAATTTAGTTAATGTCTGAAGCTTCATAAGTTGAGAAGACCTTCAAAAAATATAAATTAAGGTCATCTAAAATATCATAGAAAAAGTGAACAAAGTAGGATATTATATATTCATTAAATTTTTTTCAATTAGGACGGTTGAAAGTGAATATGGGAAATATTTATTTAAAGCAAAGAAATTATTCCAAAGCCATTAAATTCTACCGAATGGCCTTAGATCAAATTCCAAGTGTCCATAAAGAAATGAGGTAAGTGTGTAGAATTTAAGTGTCGTTCTTCAGAAACAAGGTCACTCTTGACGCGTTGCCAGTGGGCTGAGTGCTTTATGGTATCTGTACATGAGAGGTGTTAGATTCTTGTTGTAGCTGTAGTACTTTGGTCTGTCCCCTTGTGACTACTTGCATGCATTTGTGTGATGGAAGTTAAAGGTTGAAGGCATAATATGTGATCAGTTGGAGTAAAACTAAGCTAATGGGCCTATATAGGGAATAACGCTGCGGGCAATTAGCGCCAGAATACAGCTTACTGCCAACACCAAATCAAACAGCGGTTCTTTAGAACATACCAGACTCCAGAATGCAAGACTGGAAATCAAGACCTCCTTACATTCTTACTACAGCTTGAGAAGGGAAGCATGAGAGGAAGGGTTACTGTTGAATCTTAGAAGAGGGGGGAAGAGGGGGATGCTGGGATGTTTCCTGTTCTTACAGTATTTCAGGAGCAGAAACAGTAGACTACCTTATGGTCTGGTTATAACTATGGGAACATAGGAAGGTACCAGGATACTCACTGGTCATAATTTCTCCTAGGCACAGTACAAAGCCTCTGTGAAAGTTAATTTCTTTGTAAATACCACTTTTCACAATAATTTGTTTTCGAATTATGCATGATATCTCATTATCATCAGCAAATATCTAACTTACAGAACACAATGCCCTTGAGGTACGTTTAACCCAGGTGAGGCCAAGAATTTGAGCATTTTAGAAAAAGATAATAATATTATATAGTATATGTTAAGTGCTTAACAGTCCATAATCAAGAGATAGTATAGTAATTAAGTTGAAGGAATAATTATTGAGAACAAGAAAGGTCAAGAAAGGCTTAACGAAAGGAGGTATACTTGGATTGCTTACTAAAGTGAAGACAAGCGAAGGGGTAACATTCCCGACAAAGGGAGCACTGTGAGAAAAGTCCGGGAAATACTGTGATCTGATCAGAGAACTAGGAGTAAAAGGATTTAGTTCAAATGGGGTTATATTGAGGAGTGGTTAGAAATAAGGTGGGCTCACATTCATTAGAATGGCTATAATCAAATATGGACAATAATTAGTGTTGAGGAAGATGTAGAGAAATTGGAATCCTCATACGTTGGGGATATAAAATGGCCCAGACACTTTGGAAAATAATTAGGTTGCTTTTTTTAAAAGTTAAACACAAATTTACCATATGACCAATTCCATTCCTAGGTATATACCCAAGAGAAATGAAAACATGTGTTATCACAAAGTATTGTACATGAATGTTTATAGCAGCATTATTCATAATAGCCAAAAAGTAGAAGCCATCCAAATGTCCATCAAGTAGTCAATGGATAAATAAAATGTGGTATAGCCATACAATAGAATACTATTCAGCAATAAAAAAGGAATGAAGTACTCTTATATGCTGTAATATGGAGGAACCTCAAAAAGGTTATGCTAATTGAATGAAGCCAGACACAAAATATCACATATTGTAACTCCATTTATGTACAATGTCTAGAAAGGCAAATCCAGAGAGCCAGAATGTAAATTAGTGTTTGCCTGGGGCTAGAGGTGGGATCGAGGAATGACTGCAGGTGGGCACAGGTTCTTTTTGGGGTGATGGAAATGACAAAGTAGGAATGTGGTTTTGGTTCCACAACTGTGTTAATATAGCAATAATTATTGAATCATACACTTAAAGTAAGTGAATTTTATGATGTGTAAAGTAAACATCAATATAGCTTTAACAAAACAAAACAAAAAAGAAGTAAAGTGGGAAAGAAAAGAAGGAAATTATTTGTGGAATGTCTTGATTGCCATACTAGGGAGTTCAGACCTTTAAAGCGAATCCATGTTTATTTTTCTCTAGGATTAAAATTATGCAGAACATTGGAGTTACATTTATTAAAACTGGGCAGTATTCAGATGCCATTAATTCATTTGAGCACATAATGAGTGTGGCACCAAACCTGAAGGCAGGCTTCAACCTAATTCTTAGTTACTTTGCTGTTGGAGATCGAGAAAAAATGAAGAAGGCATTCCAAAAGCTGATTGCTGTTCCATTAGAAACTGACGAAGACGGTAAATACATTTCGCCAAATGTGAGTATGAGGAAGACTGTTACATAGCCAGCTCCTAATTACCTGTGCTTTTCTGTCTCCAGAAATGAGAAAGTTGGAGTGGATGACATTTCAGGTTTCTCCCAGCCCTGTATTAATGTGTTTTATCATTTTCATTTGTTATTTAAATTAGGTCGACACCAGGGCTATTGAAATAGGGCTAGAGATTGTGGTTAAAACAGACTGCACAATTTTAGTCAAAAAAACAAAAAGGAGAATCTTAGGAAAAATTGTCATTCTTTAATGTTATTTTATATGGAGTCGTACCCTGTGCACTTGCCTGTGTTGATACATCACAATGTATAGTAATGTCAATTTCATAAATTGAACCTAATAGGTCTTCCTGATAGGGTGTAAGGGTGTCGCAGCATAGTGGCTGGCCCCACTACTCAGTACTTAACTCTCCTTGTTCCTCTATATTTAAAATAGCACTAATTATAACAACCTACCATGTAGGGTTGTAAGGATTAAATGAGGTAATGCATGTGAAATGCTTAAAATAGTACCTGGAACATAGTAAGTGCTGGGTAGATGTTAACTATTATATATAACTTCCATATTGAGAAAAAGTCATATATGTTGTGAAAGAAATCATCTATGTTTTCAATAGGAAGTAGCAATATGGATCATACTAAGTAATTGATGATCATTAAAGCATTTATATTTGAGTTAAGAATTTATAATATCACACATTTGTACTAACAACCACAGCTTCTGTGTACTTGGCCCTATTCTTTCCAGCCTGACCTTGTATCAGCTGCTAGAATCTATGTTAGTTCGGTGGAGAATGTGATAGGTAATCAGAAGTAAGAAGAAAAAGTTTACATAAGGGAAAATAGTTTAGAAAGATTAATATATTCTCCATTTTATACAGCTAGCCTAGGGGTGAGGTTGATTAGAAATCTAGTTCTTGATTCTTACTTCTGAATCACTCATTTTTTTCCCCCAGGATGACCCACATACTAATTTAGTGATTGAAGCTATAAAAAATGATCATCTAAGGCAAATGGAACGTGAAAGGTAATATTTTGGGCACTTCATGATTAAAACTTAATAATGTAGTCTTAACTTCTGTAAGAGTTGAATGTGCATTCTGATTATTTCTTTCAAAACTTGTTGTATTCAGTATATTTCTTGAATAGTGCTGTCGTTTCACCATTTCTATACTCCACCAGATTCTTTTTTCTCCTTCAATATAATCTCAGTCCTCATGCTAATCCCAATTATTATTACTCAGTTACTCTTACTATTTCTCTGTAATTTGCTTTCCCTCTGCCTCTGGTGCAATATTAGAACTTTGTTCATATTACCTTTGTTCAAAAATTTATGTCTCTCTGTATTTTTATCATGCCCCCCAAATAAATTTCAACTCCCAAAGACAAAATTATTTATTTCATTTTTTCCTTTCTCTGATATGGTACCTAGTCTCTGTCAAGTATGGCTTGTACCTTCTAATATTTATTGAATATGCAACAGGTATCTTAGAAGTTATATCACATCACAGAGGGCTCTTAGTTTGTTTTTTTTTAATTGTGATAAAATACACATAACATAAAATTTATCTTAACCAAGATATGTAATTCTTCATTTCAAAGGTAGTGGTAGGTGCATTCACATTGATTTGTAGCCAGTCTCCAGAACTCTTTTTATCTTCCAAACTGCAGCTCTGTACCCACTAAACAACTCCCATCCCCCTCCCCCAGCCCCTGGCAGCCACCACTCTGCTTTCTGTCTATGAATGTGACCTGCTCTAGGGACCTCATGGAAGTGGAATCACGGTACTGTCTGTCTGTGACTCACTTTTCATCCACGGTGTAGCCGGTGACAGGATTTCCTTCCTTTTTAAGGCTGAATAATATTCCATTGTGTGGATGGAGGGCCCTTAATCTTTAGGATTTAGTTTAACAGTAAAAATTAAACTTACACTTCTGAGTACAAATTAAAACCCCAGAAATTGTATGTACAACAAAATGAGAAGAAAGGTAGAGACAAGAGGGCAAATCATCAAGGGACCCGGGGGCTTGAGGAACAGCATGGCAGTGATTCCCCTCACATTGCTCAGACTTGGAGCTGAAGAAGCTGGCAGTCAGAGAGCCAGGGGCTGCATTTTTAAAAAAGGCTCTAAGAAAAGCCAGAGGACAAGGTAAGGGGTAGGCTAGCAAGACAGAAAACTTTCAGACAGATGCACAGAAAAGAGCTGTGGTCCCATCCCCACACATGCCAGCAACAGCCAACTCCCAGGGCTGTAAGGAGACACTCAGTACCCCAGCAGACCAAGTAGGGAGCAGGACTTTAACCCCCAAGGCCCTCATGGAGCCCTGCCACTCTGACTCTGTGGTGTAGTGGACAGCACGTGGGGAGCCTGGAACTCCACCCTACCCAGCAGTAACAGGGCGCTCTTGACCCTCCCTCCTGCCTGGTGTCAGAGGGGCAGTGGGGAATCAGGGCCTCAGTCATCACTCAGCCATAACAAGACCACCCCACCATGGTGTCAGTAGGGACCGGGGGATGCAGGGACTCCCATCCCACCCAGCAGAAGCAAGGACCTCTTCCCACGTAGGTGTCAAAGCAGGCTGTGCGGGGAATATGGGCTTCTCCCCTTATCTGGCTTGTGATGCGGTGGTGTCTCTTCTTTCCCTGCTGCAGTGGTGTCAGGAAAGACAGCTAAAACAGAAGATTTAAATAAAATTTAGTCTTTTTTTTCTACGTCACTTTTCTTTTTTTCACAATAAAATACAAAAGCATTCAGCTCTTTAAAGTACATCACTTGGGGCTTCCCTGGTGGCGCAACAGTTAAGAATCCACTTGCCAATGCAGGGGACACGGGTTCGAGCTCTGGTCCGGGAAGATCCCACATGCCGCGGAGCAACTAAGCCCGTGCACCACAACTACTGAGCCTGCACTCTAGAGCACGCGAGCCACAATTACTGAGCCCACGTGTGCCACAGCTACTGAAGCTCGTGCACCTGGAGCCTGTGCTCCGCCACAAGAGAAGCCACCGCAGTGAGAAGCCTGCACACCACAACTAAGAGTAGCCCCCGCTCGCCACAACTAGAGAAAGCCCACATGCACGCGCAGCAACGAAGACCCAATGCAGCCAAAAATAAAATAAATAATTTTTAAAAATAAATAACAAAATAAAAATACATCACTTGCCCAAATCTTCAGAATCAGGGTGAAAGTAGTATTAAAGAGCCTGAATGAACATTATTTTATTTTTACTTTTTTATTGAAATGTAGTTGATTTACTATATATATATTTATTTTAGATTCTTTTCCATAGGTTATTACAAGATACTGAGTATAGTTCTCTGTGCTATGCAGTAGGTTCTTGTTGGTGCGCGGGCTTCTCATTGGTGATTGCTTCTCTTGTTGCGGAGCACGGGCTCTAGGCACGTGGGCTTCAGTAGTTGTGGCATGCAGGCTCAGTAGTTGTGGCTCGCGGGCTCTAGAGCCCAGGCTCAGTAGTTGTGGCGCACGGACTTAGTTGATCCACGGCATGTGGGATCTTCCCAGACCGGGGATTGAACCGGTGTCCCCTGCACTGGCAGGTGGATTCCTAACTGCTGCACCACCAGGGAAGTCCCGGTTATCTATTTTATATATAGTATTGTGTATATTTTAATCCCAAACTCCTAGTTTATCACCCCCCCTTCCCCTTTGGTAACCGTAAGTTTATTTTCTATGCCTGTGAGTCTGTTTCTGTTTTGTAAGTAAGTTCATTTGTATCATTTTTTTAGATTCCATGTAGAAGTAATATTGTATGATATTTGTCTTTGTCTGACTTACTTCACTTAGTATGATCATCTCTAGGTCCACCCACGTTGCTGCAAATGGCATTATTTCATTCTTTTTTTATGGCTGAGTAATATTCCATTGTGTATATATACCACATCTTCTAAAATTCAGTCTCATAATGTAAAAATGTCCAAGCTTCTTTTTGGCTGTGCCGTGGCTTGCAGGGGGTCTCAATTCCCTGACCAGGGATTGAACCTGGGCCACGGCAGTGAAAGCCTGGAATCCTAACCACTGGACCACCAGGGAATATCCAAGTTTTGATCAAAAATCACTCGTCATACCAAGAACCAGGAATATCTCAAACAGTGAAAAAAGATAGTCCATAGATGCCAACACTGAGATGACAGAGATGTTAGAATTATCTGACAAATTTTAAAGCAATCATGATAAAAATGCTTCAACAAGCAATTATGAACACACTTAAAACAAATGACAGAATAGCCTCAGAAAAGAAATAGAGTCTCAGCAAAGAAACGATATAAAGAAAAACCAAATGGAAATTTTAGAACCGAAGAATATAACAGCTGAAATGGAAAGCTCAGTGGAGGGACTCAACAGGAGAATGAAGGGGAGCCAGGAGAGATTTGGTGACTGGAAGAGAAAATGGAAATTATCCAATCTGAACAAATAGAGAAAATAGACCAAAAACCAAAACAACCAGAGCCTCAGGGATCTCTGGGACTATTACAGAAGAACCAACATTTGTGTCATCAAATCTGGGAAGGAGAGATGAAGGGGATTAGGCTAAAGAAATAATAGCTGATAACTTCCTAAATTTGGCAAGGAAAATAAACTTACAGTACAAGGAGCTGAAGAAATCCCAAGGAGGATAAACCCAAGAAAATCCATGTCATGATATATCATGATTAAACTTCTGAAAATTAAAAACACGAAGTCTTTTTTTCTTAAAATATTTATTTTATTTATTTGGCTGTGCCAGGACTTAGTTGTGGCATGCAGAATCTTCTATCTTCTTTGAGGCTCGCCAGCTCCTTAGTTGTGGCATGCGAACTCTCAGTTGCGGCATGTGGGATCTAGTTCCCTGACCAGGGATTGAACCCAGGCCCCCTGCCTTGGGAGTGTGGAGTCTCAAACTCTGGGCCAAAAGGGAAGTCCCTAAAATCACAAAGTCTTGTAAGGAGGCAGAGAAAACAACCCATAAGGGAAAAGCAATTAGAATGACAATGGGAAAGTCTTAAATCAATAACCTAAGCTCCCAGCTTAAGAACCTAGAAAAAGTATAAAATAATTAAGCTGTAAGGATGTATTGTACAGCACAGGGAATATAGCCAATATTTTGTAACTATAAATGGAATATAACCTTTAAAAATTGTGAATCACTATGTTGTACACCTGAAACTTATAAGTTTCAGGGATTTTATATATATAAATATTTTTCAAGTATTATATATTTTATATATATATAATGTACATCACCTATACCTCAATTAAGAAATAAAGAACCTAGAAAAAGAAGAGCAAAGTCAACCCAAAAGAAGCAGAAGGAAAGAAATAATAAAAGAACAGAAATCATTGGCACTGAAGGGAGAAACAATACAGAACATCAGTGAAACAGCTGATTCTTTGAATAGATCAGTAAAGTTAACAAACTTCTAACAAGACTGATGAAGGTAAAAGAGAGAAGACCCAAAATACTAGTATTAGGGACAAAATAGTAACTATCACTACAGACCCTGCAGACACCAGAAGATATTAAGGAAATACTACAGACAACCCTGTGCACATAAATTTGAAACTTAGACAAAATGGGCCACTTTCTTAAAAAACACAAACTACCACAACTCAGTTAATATGAAATAGATTGTTTGAATAGCCCTTTGAATGTTAAGGAAATTGAATTTATAAGGCAAATCTCCAGGCCTATATGGTTTTAGTAGAGAATTCTAGAAAATGTTTAAAGAATAAACATCATTTCTATACAGTCTCTTCCAGAAAATAGTTCATTTTATGAACTAGTATTACTCTGATACCAAAATAAAACAGAAGAGACAGAAAACTACAGAAAAATATCTTATGACTATAGATTAAAAGTTCTCAAGAAAATATTTGCAAACCAACAATACTAACACAATAGGAAAAGAATTATGTACCATGACTAATTTGGATTTATCCCAAGGCTACAAGAATGGTTTACCATCTAAAATTCAATTAATATGATACAGGATATCAGTAGAACAAAGGACAAAAGCCACGTGATCATCTCAGTAAACCAAAAAAAAAAAAGGGAAAACTGGGGGGGAACAAAATCCAAAATCCATATTGGATTTTGTTTAACAAACAAACAAAAAGAACTTCAACAAAAGCTAGGAGTAGAAAGGAGGTTGCTCCATCTGATAAAGGACATCTATGAAAACCCCACAGTTTCGCATTATAATACTTAATGGTGAAAGACAGAAAGAAAAGTAAAAGACTTATCCAGATTGGAGAGAAGTAAAACTTACCTCTGAAGATCACATGATCTTGTATATAGAAGGTCCTAAGGAATGCACTAAAAAAACTTACCACTGATAAACGAGTTCAGCAAGGTTCCAGAGAAAAAGGTAAACATGCAAGAATCAACAGAGTACTAGAGGAGTGTGGCACACAGTGCCGGTGAGCCATCTGAAAATGAAATCAACAGCTACACTTAACAGCAGCATGAAAAATAATTTATTAGGGATAAATTTAACAAACGAAATGCAAAACTTGTACTCTGAGAATTGTAAAACATCATTGGAAGAAATGCTAAATAAGTGGAAAGAGATCACATGTTTATGGATAGGCACTTAGTATTGCTAAGATGGCCGTGCCCCGCAGATTACAGATTCAGTGTAACCCCTATCAGAATCCCAGTAGTGTTTTTGCAGAAAGTGACAAGGTGATCCTAAACTTCATATGGAAATGTAAGGAGTCCAGAACAGCCAAAACAGTGTTGAGAAAGAATAGAAGAGTTCGAGGACTCAAGCTACAAGGCGACACTAATTAAGACAGTGTGATAATACTTTATGTTAGAAGCATAAAGACATACATAAAAGGCAATGGGATGGAATTGAGAGTCCAGAAATAAACTCTTCCGTTTATAGTCAGTAAAACTGTCAGGACAATTCCATGGGGAAAGGATAGTCTTTTCAGCAAATGGTGCTGGAACGATTGAATATGCTCATGCAAAAGAATGAAGTTGGACTTCTCTCTCACACCATACAGAAAAATTACTTCAAAATGGATCATAGGGCTTCCCTGGTGGCGCAGTGGTTGGGAGTCCGCCTGCCGATGCAGGGGACGTGGGTTCGTGCCCCGGTCCAGGAAGATCCCACATGCCGCAGAGCGGCTGGGCCCGTGAGCCATGGCCGCTGAGCCTGCGCGTCCGGACCCTGTGCTCCGCAATGGGAGAGGCCACGACAATGAGGGGCCCGCATACCACAAAAAAAAAAAAAAAAAAAAAAAAATGAATCATAGACCTAGAAGTAAGAACTAGAATTACAAAATTCTTAGGAAAAAAACATAGAAGTAAATATTATTGACCTGTGTTGGGCGGTGGTTTCTTAGGTATGAAAAAAATAGGTAAATTGGACTTCATCAAAATTAAAGACTTTCATTCCTCAAAGTACACCATCAAGAATGTGAAAACAGGGCTTCCCTGGTGGCACAGTGGTTTGGAGTCCGCCTGCCGATGCAGGGGACACGGGTTCGTGCCCCAGTCTGGGAGGATCCCACATGCTGCGGAGCGGCTGGGTCCGTGAGCCATGGCCGCTGAGCCTGCGCGTCCAGAGCCTGTGCTCCGCGGCAGGAGAGGCCACAGCAGTGAGAGGCCCGCGTACCACCAAAAAAAAAAAAAAAAAGAATGTGGAAACAACCTAATGAATGGGAGAAAATATTTGCAAGCCATGTATCCAAGAAGGGACCTACTTCTACAGTAGGTAGAAGAACTCTTCCAACTCAATAATAAAAACGCCAAAACCTAATTAAAAATATACAAAGGATATGAATAGACATTTTTTCAAAACATATTCAGATGGCAATAAGCACATGAAAAGATGCTTAACTTCAGTATTCACTAGGGACATGCAACTCAAAACCGCAGTGAGGTAGCACTTCAAACCCACTAGTGTGACTGAATCAAAAAGACAGATAATAAGTGTTGATGCAGATGTGGAGAAGTTGAAACCTTGTATGCTGATGGTGGGAATGTAAACTGGTACAGCCACTCTGGGAAAGTCTGGAAGTTCTTCTTAAACAACATATGACTCAGCAATTTGTCTCCTAGATACATACCCCAAAGAAATTAGAGCATACATCCACATAATAGCATAATAAGTTATACAGGGATATTCATAGCATTATTCGTATCCAGAAAGTGGAAACAACCCAAATGTCCACAACTGATGAATGGGTAAAAAATATATGCTCCATCCATGCAATGGAATATTATTTAGCCCTAAAATGAATGAAATATTGACATATGCTACAGTACACATGAACCTTGAGGACATTGTGATAAAGTGAAAGAAGGCAGTCACAAAAGACCACATATTCTATGATTCCATTTATAAAATGAAAGGTGAAGATTAGGCAAATCTATAGAGACGTGTAGTAGTTCAGTTTTAGTATTTACCACTGTAGTGGCAGTTTTCACCCTTTCATTTCCACAGACAGTGCAGATTATGCAGCTTCAGCTGCACAGTCCTGTGTATCTCTCTCTCCTTCCTTCTTTCTCCCTCCCTTTCCCCACTTTCTTTCTTTCCTTCTTTCCTCAGAATGGATCACAGACCAAGAACTGCTGACCCCAAGGGCAGTCATGGCTTACTGATCGCATTTCCCAGTCGTGGTTTTCAACCTGATTTGTAAACAGATTGCTAGCATAGCTGCCCAGACAATGTTTACACTTACATTTTAAGAAATAAATCGAAACTCTTTTTATACCATATTTCTAAATATTTTTTGTTTGTTTGATATAGGAAAGCCATGGCAGAAAAATACATCATGACAGCTGCAAAACTCATTGCTCCTGTAATTGAAACATCTTTTGCTGTAGGTTATGATTGGTAAGAGAGAAATTCAGTATAACTGGATGGACATGATGTTTTCTAGTTTATACTTTTATTGATTTAAAATTTTGTTATTAGAAAAGTAAATAATTGCAAATATTGATTTCTACTTATCAAGCAAATACTATTATATGGTAAGATTAGTATAGGCCACTCTAAAAGTTCTAACATATTTTTCTTATTGTTCATGTCATTTTGCAAATTAAGTACTAAGGCAAGTGTGCTACATTTGATATGTGGGTACATAATTGCTTTCATTGTATAAATTCCAGCCTGTGCCCTCTTCCTTTTTACTTTATCTTTTCTCATTATGTCCTTTTTCTACCTTAAATTTGTCAGTACTACTAAACTTTTTATCCTGAGCAATACCTCTCACACCTAAAAAGGCTATTGTCTGTGGATATATTTCCCAGATAGGAGTGAAGGGTTTTTAGAGCTGGAAAAATCTTAGGTCATTTTTTGGATGAGTAGTTGAATTTGTTTCTTCCACCCGGTACGAGAATCCTCTTTATAGCATCCCATGTAGGTGCCATCTATCCTCTGCTTGGATTCTTATGGTGTTCAAATCATTTGCTTTATTTCTGAACATCTCTAAGGGTTAGAAAAGTCTTCATTGTATTGAATCCAACGTTGCCCTTCATGAAACTCTTTTCTATGATTTTTCGAACCAGTATAGAGTGAGTCTGTGACCTGTTCTGCGTGGTACCCTACCAGAATTTTTAAAATCCAAGATACATGTACATGGTTAGAAAACCAAGTAAGTACAGAAGAGTTACAGCTCCCGTTTTCTAATTACTTTTCATGTTTCTTCTTGGTGGAAGTAACGTATGCTTTCTTTACCATATCCTCATTACGATCCAGATTCTCACCATGGAATCCATTGTCTCCCTGGTTTAGTTTGTTCTGGAGGCTTCATATTTGGCCTATGACGTTTGTTTTTCTGGTGTCTCCAGTTACCTCTCTGTCTTCTCTTGCACTCTTTGCTTCTCTTAAGTTATTTGGAGTTCTCCCTCTCGGAACTCTCCCTGCCCCAGTCTCTGTAAGCCGTTGGTTCCCTTAGGCTGGCGTTGAATGTCATCTTGGGGTTTACCTTCATTTTTTTCCCATGTTGGATCCTCTTTCTTTTTGAACATCATCTTTATTTTTTCCTTGATTTCTTCCTGAATTAACCCCCTAAGATCTGTCTGTGCATGTCTGTAAGTGTCTAACTCTGTCCTCATTCTTGATTGATCATTTATTTGATCGGGTATAATACCCTAAGTTGTAACTTGTTTTCTCTTAGAACTCAACAAGCATTTCTTCACTGTTAACTAGCGCTGTTGCTGATTAGAATTCTGATGCTAGTCTCATCCTTGCTATTTGTAGGTGACCTGCAGTTTCTTTCTGGTAATTTTTATCATTTTCTCTGTAGCTTTGTTTTGAAATTTCATAATGTGTTTAAATTTGTCTTTTTTTTCTATTTTCTTCTTAAGCACTCAATAGACCCCTCAATTTGCAGTCTGTTTTCTTTAATTTGAGAAAATGTTATACTATTTCTCTGCTAATTTACTTCCTTTTCCAGTTATAAATTTCTATCAATTGGATTTGGACTTCCTTGTCACTTATCTTTCTTATATTTTCCAACTTTGGTTCTGCTTTGCTTTCTCGGAGACTTCTTTGAATTTCTCATTCAACTATTCCATTTAATTGTTTTATTTTACATTTCCAAGAGCACGTTCTTTTTCTCTGGCTGTTCTTTGTCGTTGTTGAGTATGAGGGGAGGTCTGCAGGCGGAGGTGGCGGTCAGTGGTTCCCGCTGCCCAGCTCAGCGCTTCGCTACCCATCCGGGATCCCCAGCCTCACGTGGAGCAGGAAGCGCCCTGCTCCGTGTCACTTTCTTACTGTAGCCTCCTCTTCCCTGCTTCATAAGCCAGCACGCTTTTCACGCTTCCAGGATGGCGCTCCTCATGGGGGCAGCAATGGGAAACAGCGCGTGCCTGCTACTGTTTGGAATCAGCGGCTCTGCCAGTTATTGCTGATAGTGAGGTTAGGGCTTTCTTCAAAGTTTTCTCTCTTTTCAGATAAACAGTTCCAGTTTTTTCATCCATTTCAGATACAATGTGTTTTTCTAAAACGGCTGGTTTTCTACCTGACTGGTTGCTTGCCTAGTTTATAAACAAGTTCCTTAAAATGTCCCTGTATCTGTACATGTACTCCACATATGTTTTGATCAATGTATAGTACAAGTCACTCTGTCCCTTCCTGTGACACCAGATGTTGGTTGTAACCTTAAGATCTCCTTGATTTGGGAGACAAGCATCTCACAGTAAATGAACTCTGTTCATCTTTAATTATACTGAATAGTAAATGTTGTTTTACTGTTACTAAATCTAACTTGAATTCTCTTAATGTTTACTAAATCATATACATTTAATTTTCTAATGTTTTTAGCTTTTTAAGAAGATGATTATAGTTGTGTCTTTGCAATCTAGTAGTTGGTATGTAAGTGAAATTTTAAGTATTTATAAAATGCCAACCAGTCTGAGTGAAATTTTCCACTAATTTAACATTTTAACTTATCAAAACTAATTACTTTTGTCATATTAGACTTTTTAAAATTTTATTTATTTTATTTTTAGCTGCGTTGGGTCTTTGTTGCTGCGCGCGGGCTTTCTCTAGTTGTGGCAAGCGGGGGCTACTCTTCATTATGATGCACAGGCTTCTCATTGCGGTGGCTTCTCTTTGTTGTGGAGCACAGGCTCTAGGCTCACAGGCTTCAGTAGTTGTGGCTCGCAGGTTCTAGAGCACAGACTCAGTAGTTGTGGCTCATGGGCTTAGTTGTTCCACGGCATGTAGGATCTTCCAGGACCAGGGCCTGCATTGTCAGGCAGATTCTTTTGCTGATTTAAAAATTCTCTCTTTATCTTTGATTTTAGATAGTTTTATTACAACGTATCATAGAGAAAATTGTTTTGAGTTGAACTTTTGGGGTTGTCTCTTAGTTTCATGAACTTGGATGTCCACATCTCTCCCCAGATTTGGGAAGTTCTCAGCCATTATTTCTTTTTTAAAATATTTTATTGAATTATAGTTGACTTACAGTGTTGTATATAACAAGAAAAAAAATTTATTGTTTATTGCAGGCCAGTTGGAAGTTCAGGATAAAAAGTATCTGCCTTCAAGAAATTTACAGTTTAGCTAATGTTGGTTGTCACCTAAGATCTCCTTGATTAGCTAAGTAGACAGATGATTATATTAGCAATCACAAAGCATTGTAAGTGCTATGTTATACTAATGTAACAAATTGTGTTTTATTGTGTGCTGTGTGATTTCTTAGTCCCAATTGCTAATGCTACTGTAGTTTGTTGTCATGGTGTCATGGAAGGCTCCCCAGATTAAGTGACATTTGGGCTGAGGCTTGAAGGATTAGTAGGAATAAAAGTGGGGGAAGGGAGGGAGGATGTTGTAAGTAGAGGGAAGAGTGTCTCAAGGGCCGAGATGTTGGCAGCCCTTCCTGTATAGATTCTTCTGGATAATTAGCCCAAAGGTTCTAAGGCATCCTGTCTGTCTAGCATGGTGGGAGCTTTGTTCCATCTTTAGAAAATTGAGGAAAAAAGTGACTCCGGTAATTTTCTGCGGGGCCTAATCCTTTTGCAGAGCCCCGTTTGGGAACAGGAGGCAGGAGCACCATGCTTTCGTCTGTGAGCCACTTGGTTTGTTGACGGCAGCTCAGGGAATGAGTCAGCGTCTTCAATACTTCCCACTTTTCTAATCTTCCACATCTTCGGGTTTGTGAGCCCCTCTTCCTGGAACACCCTTCCCCTTTTGTCAAATCGATTCATCCTTTTCCCTTAAACCGAGCTCAGACATGTCTGGAATACCTTTCCTAGTGTCTCCACCCCTCCATTCCTGTATTTCTTCACTGCGGTTCTTACACCTAACTCAGTTTACAGGTCTGCTTCCCCTCGAGGGCAAGAACTGTATTTTGTGTGTCCTGGTAGCCCTGTACCAGACGTAATGTCTCACACGTTGTAGACATTCGGTGACTGTTTGCTGCGTGCGTTGTGGAATAGAGGGTTTCCCCCTTATTTTGGGGAGCCCTTCACGCTGCTTTGCTGAGAGGGTCCTCCAGGGGGGCCTGACAGGCTGGGTTTCACATCCTCTCTCACCACTCCAAGCAGAAGGACTGTTTTATAAATCAGGGTTTAAAAAATGTTCTGCTTGAAGAAAGGGATCTTTTGCTTTAATAATTTTATTTTTTAATTTTATTTTTTTAAATTGTATATTTATTTATTTGGCTGTGCCGGGTGTTAGTTGCAGCATGCGGGATTTAGTTCCCTGACCAAGGATTGAACTCCGGCCCCCTGAATTGGGAGCGTGGAGTCTTAACCACTGGTCTGCCAGGGAAGTCCCAGTATTTTTAGATTATTTGTCTAAGCCAGTGGCTTTGAAACCTCTTTGAACCAGACCCTCAGTGAGAAAACGACGCAGCACCGCCTTGCCCTTGTTATGCACAACCCTTTGATACCTTTTCTCTTCTGTTATTTGAAAGGTCATGACCCTCAATTTCGAAAGCATTAGTCTTGGTGCAGTGGACTTTGGTAGCAATAGAAATTGGGCTCAAGTTCTTACTTGGCAGTTTTCTACTTGTGCGATTTATTTTTGTATCTATGACATGAGATAAGCCCGTCTTTCAGGGCTGTGGTGAGGACTAAATGTGTTCATGCTTCCGGGAGTTGGCGCATTGCCTGATGTTTAGTAACAGTAGACGTTCTGTGTGCCCTGAGCGACGGATCCATGAAAGTCTGTTCAAGTTTGTACACAGAAACTTAAATATATTCTCAAGTTCTGTAGAATTTTTCTCACCATCAGAGCATTTAAGATGAAAAAATATATAGAAACGATTTTGCCTGTTACAAACTGAAGTTGTTTTATTAATTTTAATGAGAATTTTATTTAAAATACCATAAATAATTAGACGTGGCAAGAGGCTAATGAAGAATTGGCTGATAAAACGGGTTTGGAACTGAAGAGCTCTGTAACTTAATGCCTGTGTTGGAAGGAGTCAGGTGCTCAGTCCTACAGAACACTAGGGGCACTTTTAAACACTTTTGAAAAGTCACAGTTAAGAAAACCTAGATATATTAAAACAAAATAAAATAACCGTTTTTACGCTTTACTTTATAGGTGTGTTGAAGTTGTGAAAGCTTCTCAGTACGTAGAGCTGGCAAATGATCTGGAAATAAACAAAGCAATTATGTACCTGAGACAAAAGGACTTTAATCAAGTAAGTTTAAAAAAATGTTTAGATGGAAGTTAATGTTAACTGGTCAAAGCGATAATACTGTGAAACTCCTTTCTAGATTACTGTTACCTGGGATTATTCTGAAGTTGAATAATATTTTTATTTCTACCTTAACATAATTTCCTCTAATATATCATGGTTTTAATTTTGACCTGTTTGTCCTGTTTCATTTTTTTTGGCCGCACGGCATGTGGGATCTTAGTTCCCTGACCAGGGATTGAAACCATGTCACCTGCAGTGGAAGCGTGGAGTCCTAACCACTGGACCACCAGGGAATTCCCCTGTCCTGTTTCTTAAAATATAAACGCTTGCCATGTAAAACATGGCTGCTAAATGACTAAACCGTATTCTAGTCCAGAGGTCAGCTTTCCCCAGAGGTTTTCAAAGTGTTTCCTGAAGCTCAGAGGCTGTTCAGAGTCAGGGTTCGTACACGGGCAGTGGGGGAGGCCAGGAGCCGGAGCAGCAGCCTGGTGCCTGAGCAGCTCTCCTGGCATCTGTTTTACGTGTTTGGTTTACTCATTGACGTTGCGTTGGGCACGAAAGGAATCTGTCACTGGTCCCACCACTGTCCTGCCGCCTGGGGTGGGGTGGAACGGTGCTCCCCTTCCACAGTCTGCCTCACAGGAGAACAGAAGAACAGCTTTTTAAAAGGGGGCGGGGATCACAAAGGAGAATAGAGAATGAAACTTGATACCCTAGTTTATAAAACCAGTGGTTAGTAGCATATATGCCTGCAATGTAGAAAACTCAGCTCTTCCGCGTTTAGACCCAGAGAGTGAGGGCCAGAGGGAGCCCCAGTGTCTTTCCTCCACGCTCTCCTGAGCCAGTTTTCAGGCTTTCTTCCTATTTAAGACCTTCTGTTTTCCTGGAGACAGTAGAAGTAACTGACCCCTTTTTCGGGGAGGAGGGAGAAGGGCATCTGCCCCGAGGACGTGAGCGAAGGGGAAGCAGCCCGGTGCCCATGGCGTTGTTGTGTCGTGAAGGCTAGGGCAGCACACCGGCTGGCCCACGGTGTATATGGCTTCAGCGTGCTTAATGATTGTTTGTAAAGCATAAAAAGACTTTCTAGGTATCTTTGTGTCTGTTCTGCCATTTGAGCATCACACCCTTGGGCATTAAAAATGCCACAGATGAAACTCTGATCCTGTTGGGATGCTGAAAAGTAGAAGTGAAGTGAGACAGATTGGTCTTTGCTATCTTGCTGGAGTCATCTGTGGACCAAGAAAAATAAGTTCGTGTCTGTGTGAGAAGTACTGTTACAGATGACAAAATAGAGAAAGCCGTTTTCAGAGTTTTCTGTTGATACTTTTAAATGGTCTTTTTAGAAAGGTTTAACACTGTATTATCGTCCATGTTTTAAAGGTGTGTTCACTAAGGAATAAACCCTCTAATTTTTTCATATTTAAATTCATTTAACCCAAATCATATTGTTTGCTGCTTTCCTAGCTGTTCTCATTCAAAATATTCTTTGTTCCGTTTGCCTATATACAATTTTAATATCAGTTATTTTACTGATGTTTTTAAAAATGTAACTTCTGCTTTCTTTTACATCGCTGCTTTTACTTTGTGTTTCTTTTGTTGTGTATTTTAAGTATGACGAGGTAGGTATAACACAGTCGCAGTTTGGAAGGAACACTTTTAGGTTAAAAAGGATTGGATTGACTTAACTCATAAGGATCATTGATTAAGATGCTTTATTTATTTATTTATTTTTGGCTGCATTGGGTCTTCATTGCTGCACGCGGGCTTTCTCTAGTTGCAGCGAGCGGGGGCTACTCTTCCTTGCGGTGCACCGGCTCTCATTGCGGTGGCTTCTCTTGTTGCGGAGCACGGCCTCTAGGCGTGCGGGCTTCAGTAGTTGTGGCGCGCAAGCTCTAGAGCGCAGGCTCAGTAGTTGCGGTACACGAGCTTAGTTGCTCCGCGGCACGTGGGATCTTCCCGGACCGGGGCTCGAATCCACGTACCCTGCGTTGGCAGGCGGATTCTTAACCACTGTGCCACCAGGGAAGCCCGAAGATGCTTCACTTACAACTTGGCGTAATGTTGTAAATGTTTTTCAAAAAAAAATGCTGAAATTGGAATCTCAGAGTATGGTTTTTTGTGGTGATAGTGTTGTTTTGTAGCAGAGAAAGAACTCCACTAAAGCCACAGGTGGATGGGGTGAAGGCCAGTGGTGGTGGACAGACATACCCAGAGGAAAGCTGAAGCCCGTAGCGGACGGAATCAGCCAGGAAAGAAAACCCAAACGGAGATTTGTCTATTTTCCTAATTCTTCTTGGGGAAAAAACCCCAAACTAACAGTGTTTATTTTCATTATTTGTTTTGCCATTTACAACTAAATTTTATTGTGAACTTTTATCTGTTTTCTTTATAAATTGATTTACATTATTTTACTTTTAAAAACAGAAATATTAGAGATGCATTCATTGAATGTGTAAAGAACAGTATGAAAACAGCCTATTTCAAAGCCAAAAATACCTGAGAATGTTCCTTTTATTAGAATATTTAGCCTTTTCAGGATAGTTGTAGTTTAGAAGCTTAAAATTTGAAATATGTTTTTACTCTGTCCATGTTTTTAAATGAATGTTTTAAGTTCTAAATATTTTTGTTAATTCTTCTGAGTAATAGCTTTGGGTTGCATTGTTCTTTATGTATTGTTTGGATTCGTAGCAATCTTTTTTTTTTTTTACACAACTTTATTCTTTTTTTTTTTTTTTTAGTTAATTAATTAATTTATTTTTGTCTGTGTTGGGTCCTCATTGCTGCGTGTGGTCTTTCTTTAGTTGCGATGAGCGGGGGCTACTCTTTGTTGCAGTGTGTGGGCTTCTCATTGCGGTGGCTTCTCTTGTTGTGGGGCACGGGCTCTAGGCGCGTGGGCTTCAGTAGTTGGAGCACGTGGGCTCTAGATCACAGGCTCAGATGTGGCTCACGGGCTTAGTTGCTCCGCGGCATGTGGGACCTTCCCAGACCAGGGCTCAAACCCGTGTCCCCTGCATTGGCAGGCGGATTCTTAACCACTGCGCCACCAGGGAAGCCCCCAGGGATTCGTAGCGATCTTGTGGGGAGAATAGATTCGGTGTTAAACGTAGTCTTAAAGTATTGTTATCGATGAGCCATAGATTAACAAATATCAGCATTTTAAGATCCAGCCCCCACATTTCCTTGACTGTAATATGAACAGCTGCTTTGAAAGCAGCGATATAAACTGATAGCGTTCTGTTTTTAAAAAATTACCATTGTCGTTAGTTTGCCTTCGGTTCTGCTTTATGGATGTCAGAAATATCAGAGAGCAGCCTTCTTCCCCTCTGCAGTCTACCTGAGTCAGAGGATTCAGTGGATATGTGAGTTATGCCTATTCACGTGCCTTATATTTAATTAATTAATTAATTATTTTTGGCCATGCCACACGGCTTGTGGCATCTTAGTTCCCTGACCAGGGGTTGAACCCACGCCCTCAGCAGCAACAGCGTGGAGTCCTCACCACTGGACCGCCAGGGAAGTCCCCACTTGCTTTATATTTTAAATTAGCACATACATTTATAGTGACACAATCTGAAAGTAAAGATAAAAACATCTCAATTCTTATTCAATGTGAAATGCAGCTTGTAAAGCTTAGAGGCTCGGAAGAGGAGCTGGGGGTTGGGTAGGGTTGGTGAGGTAGCTTCTGCAGGGAATCACTTCCAGGTAAGTTTTAGGAGCTTCTTGTTATGGAAGAGCCTTCCAAGAAAGAAAGTGAGAAAGGGGCTCTCAAGATGGACGGTGTGGCGTTCGGGTTTTTCTCTTCCAGAATTTACTTTGTGGGGTTATAAACTAATGGTCTAGAAACTTCCAACAGTTTTCTCTCGAGTAATCAAGACCCTTTAAGAGAGCAGTTCTTTACTGCGCTACGACCGCGTGTGCAGGTCTCCTGCCCTTGGCCGCAGGGGAGTCAAGTGCTCGGTGGCCCGGCTCAGGGCTCGGACCGCACTGCGTCCACCGGCTCAGGGTTCGGACCGCACGGCGTCCACCAACCCAGGGTTCGGACTGCACGGCGTCCACCGGCACAGGGCTCGGACCACACGGCGTCCACCGACCCAGGGTTCGGACCGCACGGCGTCCACCGGCACAGGGCTCGGACCGCACAGCGCCCACCGGCACAGGGCTCAGACCGCACGGCGTCCACCGGCGCAGGGCTCGGACCGCACGGGCGTCCAGCAGCAGCAGCTGCGGCCCCTGCAGAAGCTGAGCAGGGCTTTGCTTGGACACAGCTGCTCCCCAGGAGCCAGCGGCCAAGCATTTTCTATTCAGTAAATGTAGTGTAAAGGAAGGAAGGAAAAACCACGTCTTTTTCCTGTTTCTGGTACCTCTCAGTAACTTCTAGGTGGAGAACTCATCCACCTCTCGTGCAAGGAGCCTGGCATCCCAAGTGTCCTGCCATGTCGGGGCATCTCAGACTTGCCAGGGGGTAAAAACATGCTTTAAATTCCTCATGGCTTCAGAGTGTAGTTACATTTGGATCTGTATCAGGTCACTTTGTGACGCTCCCAGAATTGCTTTCTATCCCAGTTTTGAGAATTCTTTTTCACAAGTACTGATAATCAAGTGAAATTCTCATCTGTCATCTGTTTTCCTGAACACACTAATCACCCCTCTGCATTCCCTGGTCTTGTCCCCAAACTGAAGCCTAAATGCTATCATATTACAGAGGTAATAACTGGCAGACATTTCATTTTTAGGCTGTAGAGACCTTAAAAATGTTTGAAAAAAAGGACAGTAGTGTGAAGAGTGCAGCTGCAACCAATCTCTCATTCCTGTATTATTTGGTGAGTTCTGCTTTTCATGACTACGTTGGTACTGTGGTATTTTTAGGTTGCTGCCCAAGGAGGGGCTCTGGAGAAGTGGGGTGGAGAAGGACAGCACGGCTGGGTTGGTCTGCGGGCCGCTTGGGTGGTGCATGTGAGCGCGAGGCCATCTCGGAAGGAGGACAGAGGGAGGACCTGTGGAGCTGATCTCAGATGGGAAATCAGGGTTAGAGATAAAGTGCGTGGTTGTCTCTGTAGAGGTTTAAGCTTTGATGACAGATGCCATGGACGGAATGATTGTCTCCCCAAAATTCATCTTTGAAGCCCTAACACCCAACGTGACTGTATTTGGAGGTGGGGACTTAGGGTTAGCTGAGGTCATGAGGGGAGCCCCCATGATGGGATTAGTGCCTTTATTAGAGGAGAAGGGGACCAGAGCCCTGTGCCCTGTGAGGACACAGCAAGGAGGCCATCTGCAGATGTGGACGTGGGCCCTCACCAGATACCAGGCCTGCTGATCCCCTGGTCTTCGACCTCCAGCCTCCGGAACTGTGAGAAGTAACTGTGAATTGTTGAAGCCCCATCTCTGGTACGCAGACAGCAGGCGGTGTCTCCAGGGTGTGAGCAGGGCGCAGGGCTGGGGGCTGAGGAGGCCAGAGTGCAGATCCGTGGAGGAGACAGGAAAGGAACTAGCAAAGCATGACGGCTTTCGGGGGGCAGGCATCGTGAGAGCAGAGAGGAGGCACAAGAGAATGAAGGCCCCCGGGGTGCGGGGCGGGGGAAGGCTCAGCCAATGCAGCCGAGCGAGGCTCAGCCCACCCTGCAGGATGGTCCGCTGGAGCAGGGCTGGGCCTTTGCACCTGCAGCCGCCTGTGTTCTCCCCCCTCCCCTCCCCTCCCCCTCCCCCCCCCTCCCCTCCCCCCCCCCCCCTCCCCCCCCCCCCCCCCCCCCCCCCCCCCCCCCCCAGCCCCTCCCCTCCCCTCCCCTCCCCTCCACGTCCAGGGACCCTGAGGTCATCCCCTCACAGCTCTCCAGTCCCGTCAGCAACCCGTCACTGCTCTTCTAAGTTGTGCCTGAAGCTTAATCTAAAGACAGTGTTAGCGGTTTAGTGTTTACGACGCCAGCACCCCGCTCTTAGGGAGTCCGCACAGATACTTGTATGTGAATGTTCAGAGCAGCGCTATTCATGGTAACCAGGAGTGGGTGGAAACAACCCAGGTGCCCATGAACTTGGTGGAGAGGTCTGTGGGACTCGGATGCCCTCTGTGGTCCACAGCCCAGCCCGGCGCGGATCTGGGTCCTCTGCAGGAGGAAGAGCTGGACATGGGTGGGGAGCGAGGGTGAGCTGGGCGGGGGGGGCGAGACTGGGAAGGGCCTTCAGAGGGTAAGGTGCCGCCACACGTTCACATCCACGGCCACTGGACAAGGACCACGGGGGGGGGGGGGGGGGGGGGGG